GCGGTCATACAAGCATGCGGTACACCAGATAGAGATGCCCCGCCCGGACGGAGGTGTTGACAAATATTACTTTGTTTTGGAGTATGCCACCCCTCTGATGAACCTGTACGACATGTCCACGCATGCAGATGCTCCCTTGAGTCGCCAAGAGCGGGATCATCAGGTAACATATAAGTCAATGTAAGTCTTCCACATACCCCATCAGGCAGCCTCTATTCATTTTCAATTGGTCTAATTCCAGTTTCCCAAAGCCAAAAATGGTCCTCTGGGTGATCAAATCCCCAGGGATCAACCGCCCGTACCCCAGGACCTACATGGTAAAAATGAGTGGTGGGAAAGAAAAAAGGCATCTTTGAACACTTCCCCTGTCTCTGGTATAGCTTGTTTTTATACATCATATAAGTATGGTGTCAAATTCCTTACCTCAGTAACAACCCATTGACATCAAATTCCCACACCCCTGCCCCTGGACACATCAACTTGTCAAATGCCTAGGGAATGCTTCATCAAAACCTAAATTGTTTTTATGTACCTATTGCACCTCCAGTGAATAATGCCTTATTATATATAATTTCCTAGAAAGACCCTGTCTCAAATGAAGATTGGAAAATCTATAACTCAATTTTAGACTAAAACAGCCTGTCAAAACCCACCTCTGGGACAGACATATACACTTACGGGGCTTATACAGGAGAGAAGACCTGGCTTACCTGCAGTGGAAGCAAACAAGTTACTTCTCAGTTGGCTGTTTCCCATGCATTTATGCACAATAAAGTTGAATAGATGAACCTACAAGTGACTTCCCCTTTACAAATCCAGTTACCCAAAAGGAATATTCCATATTAAAAATTAAGCACAAGAATGTTCAAAACTCATTGTCTTCCCCAAGAGGTACAAATATTTTTAAAATACAACTTATTTTCTGTAGCCTTTTAAGAGGTTAGTCAATGAATTAAATGAGCAAAGTGTGATCCCTGGCGGAAGAAATGCTTGAAACCACCCCTCAGCATGTGCATAAGAGCCTAATTAAACAAGCAATGATTTTGGCTTTGTACTTCTTCTATCCGGCTTTTTTGAACGGACTCGTATGAATAACGGCTCCTAAAATGTCAAAATCTGGCCAAAAGAAGATATCTGATGAAAACAACAAAACATGTTTCATGGTTTGGTGACAAGGTGGAATTACTATTGAACATAGCAACTGACTGCAGATTCAAAATCAATGGAAAATGTCACTTGGAATCTTGCCAAAATAGGTATCAAGAAATCTAAGTACAGTACAAAGAGCAGAACCCATTTCTGTTCGAGGAAGACTTTCGCTGAGAAATCATGATTACCATTACATCAGCATGTTATCAAGTTGTTTTCCATCCACAATAAATTATGCAAATCTGGCATTTTCAAATGTATCCACTTTGAAGAGTGTTTCAGATTAGTCAGGACGAACGGTAGGCGTAATCGTAACAATCGTAATCGTAAATTTAAAGTTATGTGACAACCACATGTGAGAATTAAGTAACTAAACCTGGGGCATGAAAGAGAATCTAGCTTGCTCCTTCCTCTCTACGATTATTACTCCGACTGTAATCATGATCAATATTTTTTCCTTGTTTTAAAGGTGGTGCTCTTTATGCGAAAGCTGAAAGATATTCTGGATCATTCTCCTGAATGCAAAGGGAAGTATGAGTTAGTACCTATTTCGGGAAATGAGACAAACAAAATAGC